ACACAATCACGACGGTTCTACAGCACAGAACATGACAGCTTCTCTCTCAACCGAGTTAAAACACGATTGTTGCACTTAGTCAAATCATTTCAGAGTTTTTTAAAAAATGGATGAGACACAGGGATATCTGTGACTGGATCCCCCAGCCTTTAAAAATATGTAGAAAATGCTAATAAAAGCCACACAGGAGAGCAGTTCGCATCAGGACTGCAGAGAGGGAAAGATTTACTCTGAGCAGGAGGCTCTTTAGGTCCTCTTCACTTTCTGCCATTAGAGTGGTATCATCTGCATATCTGAGGTTGTTGATCTTTTCCCCAGCAATCTTAATTCCAGCTTCCTGTGCCCTGTACTACGGGGCGGGGGGGGGGGGGGGGAGTTGGTTTCAATTGGTAAAACTACATATAGAGGAAAAAGCTCCACACAAATCTGTGTCAAGCATCTGTGCAGCTTCTATTCGCCTTTTAAACTGTTGGAACCCAGTCACAGATCTCCCAGTGCCTTGTCTAATTTGATCCTTAAGTCTGATTTTTGTCTTTTTCACACTATGATTTAGTATGCTGTAATATACTTTAATACGACACTTGTCAGTTTACAAAACGTCAGAGTAAGTGGTGCTATGGCTGAAATAGCTAAACTACTCTGTCAGCTCAATAAAACACCCAGTCAAAACTGGAATTCTTGGATTTCAGCCTGGTTAGGCCCCGCAAAGTCAGTAGGCCCGAAGCCTATCTTAAAATCCAAAATATTTTGATACTACAGGGTTGTCTCTGTAAACTGAAACACAACATTCCAGCCTTTGTAGTTGGTGGATCAGTTTCAGTAAACTGGTTTCAGGACATCTCGTCTTTCAAACCGCAAATCACTTGGAACGGAGAAATATTGAAATAATATTGTGAATCTCAACAGTCTTTAAATCAGAATAGTCCAAAATTGTAGTATGTGGACTTGGCTACCGACCCTGTAAGTTTTCTCCAGAGATCCTGTCATTCATTTTCATGATAGCATTTTGAGTGGCTTTTCCCCCTCTGAAGTAATATTGATGGGTATTTCCATTGGGAGTACTCAGGGGCAACCACGGGTGAAAGCAACTTAGATTTCTTGCTACCTACTATCTCTCTCTAGGGCACTGAAACAGAAGATGGATTGTACGGCTTTAGCCACTTTGTTACCAGCACTGCATACTGGCCCAGACCAGCTTATTTTCACCCTGGCTGGAGCCTCAACTAAGCCCCACCCAGTCATGCCACTTAAATAGAAATGCCAGGTGGTAGCCTGGCATACCTGGGAGCTTGGGGGTGGGGCAAAGAACAGAAATGATGTCAGGGCTACATGCCAACAACATCACATCCTTGCAAAAGCCTGGAAGTGATGTCAGCACATATCAATGACGGTCTAGAAACTCTATGGTATGATCATAGAGTTTGTTGAGTATTGGCCAACATCTTATGTCACAGACCTGGATGCGACATCAGCACACAGTCTGACATCATTCCCCCATTGTTTCTCCCGCCAGGCTGACAGGCAAAGGTGGGTTGGAGGGCCCTTCACTAGTTTTGATCAGAAGTTCCTGGAATCTAGTTGTAGAACAACAAGGCCAAGGTACCACAGACCTGATGGCAAAAATATCGGGCTGTATGGCAGACAGCCTATAGGTAGTCGACCATTTTAGCCAACCCTAGCGCTTATCAAATCTGGGATCCCCAATTACTTAACCCAGCCTCTGTGGGAAAATTTATAACAGGTTCAGCCTACTTCTTCTCAGGAATTAATGTGAAAGACACAAAGAGTTATAAAAAGCTTCTTTCTTTACAAGTGGATAGGACAATATGGCTGATAATGAAGAGATGGAAGTCAGTTAAACTTCCTGTGGAGTTGTTTCTGGGAATTCAGGCTGTCAACTGCCTGGAAGAAAAATGTCCTATCCCTTTAATTGAGGGTTAATTGGATGTTATTAACAGCCACGCCATGGAAAGCTTCCATTTCCACACAATAAATCTCTACCAATGTGCTAAGGCACGCCTTCTGACAACTATTGACAACTACCTTGCTGCCTCAATTTTGCACAGACCTGACAGATATATTTGTAATATTACACTAATATGTATGGGCCTAACTAAGGTGAAATGCTGGAAGGTTGGCTGAAATGATGTCCCAGCAAGTTCAAGAGTGGGTGCTAGGCTTTTCCCCCTTCCAGAACTAGTAGAAGCCTGAGATGCATGTGGAATGAAAGGGTTAAGCCCCCTTTCTACTAGTGCTGTGCCCCCAATCCTAACTGGGCCTCTCCCTATGGCTGCCATTAAACTCCCCCCCCCCCCCCCGCAAAATTTTTTTTACTATTTTGTCCAGGTTACACCCTATGTCTGGTCATAGATTGCAGTTTTTATGCCCTGTTTGTATTTCAGGAGATCTGTCCAAAAAGCAAATACATATTGTGGGCAAAACGTATTCACACTGTGTGACAATCAGTCCCGTCATGGCTGGGTTTGGGGAGGGGAGAATATGTTTCTGGATTTCTTCTTTCCCTTAGCCTCCAAAGAGTAGGCTGTTTTGTAGAAATATAATACATCCTCAGCCTGAAAACTAGTACTTATGAGTAGGCTAATAAGACTTGTTAAGCAACAGATATTCATTTAACAATTAGAACAAAGTGACCAAAGATTGTCCAGTGGGCCTTTGGGATAGACTATTCCACCAGCATGGAGAAAAGTTGGAAGTTCAGAAGGTGGCAGATTAAAAAGTAGCTATTTCTGGTACTGAATGCTTCTAGAATAAGATTTAACGGAAGAAAACAAACAAACAAAAAAGGCTGGTGGATCTGACTAAAAGCCCATCTAGTCTAGCATCTTGCATTCCACAGTGGCTAACTAGACACCCAGGAAGGGCTACAGGAAAGGGCACAGAAGCCAGAATTGTCTCCTGTTGTTGTCCCTTAGCAACTGTTACAGCAGCGTTGTCCACAAGTTACAGTGAATGCCTGTACAATCTGCATGCACGCGTGTACAGCTGTTCGTCAAAAAGCGCCAATGTGTGTTTGCTTTACAAAAACAAGTACACAGTACACACAGATTGTTACGTGCATACACTGTATCTTGTGAACAGGGCTTCTATCTTGGCAGGGAGGTTCCATTTAGCCATGGCCAGTGGCCACTGATTTGCCTGTCTTTCATGAATGTGACCAATCTCCCTTTAAAGCTAACGGTGATCGCTACCACCTATGGCTGTGTGCTCCTCAAGTTAATTCTGCACTGTGCGAAGAGGTGCTTTTAAAATCTGCCCTGAATCTCCTGCTCATCAACCTCACTGGATTTCAACAAGTTCTAAAATTTGTAATATGCCAAGTATGCTATTTATTTGCTGTGGTACTAGAACAGCAATAATGTTGTTTATGCTTCAGTATTTCTATTCTGTGTGATGTGATGCACAGCCCAGTTAAACCAAGCTGATCTACTGTGATTTATGAGGATTTAAAAACACTGCAGTTGGTCTTTTCCTCCTTGACCTGCAACTGATCCTTGCCCTTGGGAAAGCTCTGACTCATTCTCCATGAACAGAAGCTGCAGCATCACTGTCATAATTAGGGATAGTTTATCTGTGCAGCAGCGGCACCATATCTCCAACAAATATAGCCAGACTTGTGTGTGCCGGTATTCACGTATGCTGAAAATGCACAGGTACCAAAGTACGTGTGAGAGACACAATGGAAGTTTCAACAATTACTGAAATTCCAGAGGTCAAATAAAATCGCAAGCGCCTAAGGCTTGCAAGAAGAAAATTCAGTGATGTCGCCTCTGGTTTATATGTGCACTACAAAACCCTATCCGTTTTATACTACTATAACTCTCATGGCTTCATCCAAACAGCCTGAGAATGATAGTTTAGTTTTGTTGCTGAACATTCTGTACTGCAGATCCTAGGTAGGCCCCATCAAAGAATTACTGCTCCCTGGGAAGAGTGATCCTAGCCAGGTTAGAATCAAACTATGTGTGACACTTAAGTTCTGTGTCTAGAGCCACAGATGCGTAATTTGGCCCTAAAAAGGGGTCATGATGGGAGAGCCCTTGACTAATCTTTTCCCTACACTGCTTGGTCAACCAAAAGGGACTGTTTTTAGCCCTGGCAGGGGGGAAAAAGACAGTTGTGTGTATTGTACCTGTCTTTTCCCCCTACACTTGGGATTAAAGATGACGTGGAGGACACTTTCAATGGGAGGGATGGCACGGGAAGGGAAACGTTTAGTCTGAAGAAGATGAGTTTGAGCCGGGACACAACCGCTCTCTTGAAGTATTTGAAGGGCTGTCACTTAGAGGAGGGCGGGGAGCTGTTCCTGTTGGCAGCAGAGGAGGGGACTCGCAATAATGGGTTTAAATTGAGGGTGGGAAGGTAACTGGTTAAATACTAGGAAAAACTTTTTTACGGTAAAGGTTGTGCAGCAGTGGAACCAGCTGCCTATGGAGGTGATGAGCTCCCCCTCACTGGCAGTCTTTAAGCAGTGGCTGGACAAACAGTTGTCCGGGATGCTCTAGGATGATCCTGCATTGAGCAGGGGGTTGGACTGGATGGCCTGTATGGCCCCTTCCGACTCTGTGATTTTATGACTAACCCCTCCTCGTTCCCCAGCCTTAATCCCCATTGGAGGACTTCCACAGCTCCCTTTTTAGGGCCACGCTGTGCATCAGGCGTTCCATCATGGAACTCCGTCACATGTAGTTTGGATCTATGGTGCAATACGATCCATAGGTGTTCACCGTTGACCCTCAGCCCCACTGACACCAGTGAGCATGAAACAGACTAGTCCTCTTGAATCCCAGTAGATTTGGGCTGCCATTGCTGCTACAGACCTGCCTTGGCAATTAGAACTCTTTGCTCTGGGACTGGGCCAAGTAGGAAGCATCACAGGAGTGCCGGACACCCAGCCAGACTTCGCGGCGGGACAACAGACAGTACGCCTTAGCGGTTAGATGACGAGGAAGCGGCAATGAGGAAAGGGAACTTTTTCTTACAGTCCATTGGGCCAGCAAAAGGAGTCAGCAGCTTGCTGGAGGAGTGCTCTTCTTCAGTCCCTCCTGGCACTGAGCGGGCCTTCTCAGGAGGTGTCTTACCAGCGGGAAGAGGAAAGGTGGAGACAGTGTTGAGTAGCACCACGCAGACAGCCACCACATCCCATAACTTCATCTTAGATTTCCTTCCAGCACAGGACCCTGGCAAAGGAGACATGACATTAGCTTCTGCCTCTTCCTCCAGCCATTCTATTTATGTGCCTGTCACCCTTCCCTATCTCATGAACACAAGAGCTGTCTTATACGGAATCAGACCCTTGGTCCGTCAAGGTCAGTATTGTCAACTCAGACTGGCAGTGGCCAGTGTTCCCTCTAAGCTGAGTTAGTGTGAGCTAGCTCACAGTTTTTTAGCCTCTGGCTCACACATTTTTGTCATAGCTCAGGAAGAATGGCTCCAGAGCAAACTAATTGATGCAGCAGCCAAATCACTTGCTCACAACTTTGATGCCAGGAGCTCACAAAGTAGAACTTTTGCTCACAAGACTCCACAGCTTAGAGGGAACATTGGCAGTGGCTCTCCTTGGTCTCAGGTAGAGGCCTGTATTACCTGATCCTTTTAACTGGAGATGCTGGGGATTGAAGCTGGGACCTTCTGCATGCCAAGCAGATGCTCTGCCACTGAGCCATGGGCCCTCCCTTCTCTCGGCCATCAGTTGTAAGCAGCAAGTCCACTGGGGGCTCAAACCTGCCCCTTCCCCCACATTCTGCACCATACCAAACACAGAATTGGCGCTAAATCTCTTGAGTCGGAGCCCATGGACGATTTCTGTCTGCTCAACAGTCCTCGTGCAACTGGAAGCACTAAAATGACTCCTTCCTCTCTGCTCGCACTAAGGAGAACGGGATCGTATCCCCCACTATCTTCTCCACACGCACGAGACACAGGCACAAGTTATTTCTGCCGATCCAATTTCAAAGCGAAGAGAAATGAAACTATGCAAACCATCTGTTGTGCAGTTCTATGCACATTGGTTATTTCGTTAAACATTGTATTGGAAACGCTAGGCATTGCCACAGCTGTTCAGCTACTGCTAGCGCAAGCAGAACTGCGCTGAGGATACTCTCCTTCCGGTTGTGTGGATCCAACCCCTACGTTCATTACTAGCGGCAAGAACTTGACGGTCCCTCTGTGACTCAGCAGCAGTCAGGAGAGAACCAAGGGGGTGGGGTGGAGCGGGCTGCCTCCCTGAAATCTGGAGCACAGACCCAAGAACATCTTCCCAAGGAATGAAGAACATTCCCCCTGCTTTAATTTCTCAGGGTTAAAGGAGAAAAGATGCTGGGAGATCTGTGGCTGGCTGTTCCCAGCTTCTCGAAGCCTAAACTGTAGCTGCATAGAGAAGGGAGGTTCCAATTCTCTCTCCCCGTCCCATCATACAGTTTGACTGTCAGTGCACCTCACACTGCTATTAGCTTTGGAAAGAATATAAAGAGGTGAAACAATGCAGGTGAAATAATGCTGGGTGAAAGGTTTCAACATCCTCCCGGATGAGCTGAATCAAAGTCAAACAGAGCTTCGTTTTTTTCTTTCAAAAACACTGGGGAGGTCCTGTCTTGGATCTCCTAATGCAGGGGGTCTGCAACTTTTTATTAATAATTAAAGAGCCAACTATATCAAAATTTAGAGCAAGAGATCACAAAAGGCTTGTATAAGAAGAAAGCCCATTTTTGCAAAACTGGGAAAAGACAGCTTAATGTTACTGATGGTTGACATGTCGATTAACAATACATAGGAGAAGAAGAAGATTGGATTTATACCCTACCCTTCACTACCTGAAGGAGTCTCAGAGTGGCTTACGATCCCTTCCCTTTCCCCTCCCCACAACAGACACCCTGTGAGGTAGGTGGGGCTGAGAGAGCTCTTTCGAGAACTGCTTCTGAGAGAGCAGCTCTGACAGAATTTATGACTGACCCAAGGTCACACCAGCAGCTGCATGTGGAGGAGTGGGGAATCAAACCCGGTTCTCATAGATTAGAGTCTGCACTCCTAACCACTACACCAAACTGGCTCTCACTTCCACAGACCAAAACCTCCGCAGACCAAAAACTGGTTGTTGCAAGTCCTTTATTATGAAGTGACACACATGAGGTCCCACAATAAGTAATAAAGAAGAAGAAGAGATTGGATTTATACCCTGCTCTTCGCTCAGAGCGGCTTACAATCTCCTTCCCCTCCCCACAACAGACACCCTGTGAGGTAGGTGGTACAGAGAGAGCTCTTTCAAGAACAGCTCTGAGAGAACTTGTGACTGACCCAAGGTCACACCAGCAGCTGCAAGTGGAGGAGTGGGGAAACAAACCCGGTTCTCCCGGATTAGAGTCTGCGCACTTAACCACCACACCAAACATACCCAAACCTGCCTGAGTGATTGTTTTAGTGCACAGGCATACATCTCTGCACGGTTCATACTTGCATTACTGCTAACTCTATCATTCCCCTTTCTACAGAGCCTCTAGTCCTATGAAAAATCTTTGCCTGCCTGCTATTCCTTTCATCTACTGGTTGTAAGAGCCACCAGCGGGGGGTGAGAGGGTAGAGCTGCCAGTTCCAAGGCTGGGGAACTCCTGGAGATTCGAGAGTGGAGCTTGGGAAGGACAGGGACCTCACTGGGGTACAGTGCCATAGAGTTCACCCTCCGAAGCATCCATTTTTTCCTAGGGGAGCTGTTCTCTGTATCTGGAAATTAGGTGCATTTCCAAGGGATCCCCAGGTCCCACCCGGAAGCTGGCATCCCTACCCAATGGGCTGCAACTTCAAGTTCTTATTTGCCTTTTTTCTTCAGTTCCGTAATCACAGGTGGCAGCCCAGCATCTGAGCCTCGCAAACAGGTTAAATCCATCCCCTTGGTTTTCAGTCTCTGCTCAGATTTTCTCTTATTCCCTGTCTGGTCTTTGTCGAACAGTGGATGTTGTGACATGTAACCCAGGTTTGCTGCCATCTGTTCCCACAATACATTCCAAACAGACTAGGCTTACTTTTCATGGGGTTCTTTTTTTGCTTGCTTCTCAAGAGAATAAGCTGCAGGCACTGCTGGGCGCTGGCAGCGGTCCTGGAACTGCCATGAAAAAAAAGCAACCGTAGTGGAATACCTTCATTAGGATCCAGGAAAACACCAAGTAATGAGCTAACTTTCAAGTTCACCAGAACTCTTCATCAGGCTAATGTTAAGCAAAGCAAAAATAAACCCCCCAAATACAGAAACAAAGGTGGGCGTGGGGGGGGGGGCTGTTGCTGCAAGTGGTGAAGTCCCAGACTAGTCTGCAGCTTGAAATAGTCTTCAAATTGAATGCAAGGGTTAATTAAGACAGACCCTGGCCTGTTAGGGTTGCCAGCTCTACCTGAGAAATACCTGGAGATGGGGAAAGGCAGGGTTTGAGGGGGGGAGGGACCTTGGTGAGGTATAATGCCAAAAAGTTCACCTTCCGAAGTGGCCATTTTCTCCAGGGGAAATGTTTTCTCTGTAACCTGGAGACCAGCTGTAATTCTGGGAGATATCCAGGCACTACCTGGAGAATAGCAACCTTACATGAACCAGAAAATTTCTGCTATTGATTTCTGTCAAATCCACCCACCAGCACCTCAATCATGCTGTTTGTAGGGTGGGGGGGGGTCACCTGTCCCCACGAGGAGCTGTATTGGGGCCCGTTCCCTCTAAGCTGAGTTACTGTGAGCTAGCTCACAGTTTTTTAGCCTCCGGCTAACACTTAGTTCAGGAAGGAGGGCTCCAGAGCAAACTAATTTATGCAGTAGCCAAATTGCTCGCTCACAGCTTTAATGCCAGTAGCTCGCAAAGTAGATTTTTTGCTCACAAGACTCCACAGCTTAGAGGGAGCATTGATTGGAGGGCATATTGGACTACAGTGGGAGGGGAGGAAGTTGTGCTCCACTGAAAACGTCCCTGTGAATCCAATCTCATGCTTTCTGTAGAAATGTCTCAAAACAGAAAGACCTCAAAGCATGCTAGGAAAACAATGCAAGGGTAGTTCTTCTGAAAATATACAAGCCAACAGCAAGTTAGATCTGCCTCTAGCATTACATGGCTCACCCAAATAACTGGATAGCAAAAGCAAAGAAAAATAGACCAATCGCTACATTAGAAAACACTGGAGATTAATTTTAGGGATTGAGTCAAATTGGGTACCATTTATCTATGTATTGGAACTCGTGCCATTGAATAGTAGTGATGAGAATTTGCTTCTTGCAGGTTACAGGCCCTCCTACTTGTAGGAAGCAGATCCAACTTGCTGCTGCAGTTTGTATTTTCAAAGGTATGTGCCCTTGAGAGCAAAAAAGGGAGAATTCTATCAGGATGCAGATAGATTGGTTCTTCTCCCTCCAAGCAGCCCTAGGTGCAAATGTTTTGCATTGTCTGACCTAACTTAACCTGCATAACATCATCTGTACGCTATTTTAAGACTGCTGCAAATTACAGAATGGGCTTTTACCTAATGCTGCGAAACGCAGGGCTCTAGTCGGGGGGGAGCTCTCAGGTACGGAGCTCCGGAAGAGAACCTCTAGGGGGCGGGGCGGTCACGTGGTGAAGCCCCGCCCCCTTCTTTACCCCGCCCTCTGCTTCGATCCTCATTCCATTTGGGAATGAGGATGAAGCAGGAGGGTAAGTAGCCGGGCCTTCTGACACACTTCCGGTGATGTCAGGGGGTGTGGCCTTCTGTCACTTCCGGTGATGTCAGGGGGCGTGGCATATGCAAATAAGTTATGCTAATGAGTTATGCTAATGAGCTCCGGCAGCTCTTTTTCTACAACAAGACCCCTGGCGAAACGTCTCCTCCCCTCTTTTAAAACTGGAACACGATGAAGAGTTCTAGGCCAGGGAACTTGAGAGTTTGCTCACTACTTTGTCACTCTTTGGTGGGTCATCATAAAAGATGTTCCACTACAATTGCTTCTAGCTTTTTTAAACGGATGAAATGGCCACCTGCAATTTTGATTCGTATTCACAGGCTATTAAGACAGAAATCCTATTCAGGTATACTGAGTGGGGGGGGGGGGAATGTTCTTATTATTGCACTGTAACCCAGTAGAGCCCTGATCTTGATCTCCCGGGCTAGCTCGATCTCGACAGCTCTTGGAAACTAAGCAGGGTCAGCCCTGGATGGGAGAACACCAAGGAAGTC